CACCATGGATATGAAAATGTACTAATGATGTATTTTAAATAAACTTGTTTGAGATGATTGTTCAAAGTTCATTTCGTATATTTTTTATTGATAATTGATCTCTTGTCTACTGCTTGTTGGTGTTCTCCTGTTGCTTGACGATGTCAACAAATTTGTATAATTTTTAACGTTTAATCATTCAAGAATTGCGTAATTAATTTCAAGTGCACGTCTCTGTACCTTTCTTAGTTCTTAAGTACATACGTACATATATTATTATGATGTTGTGGTTGCTTGTTTTTTGCTTTGGCCCAACGTTGCCTGCTTGTTCGTTTGTTTACTTAGTCCTTAACTGAATTTTTGTTATTTTCTAAACTTTACTTTTTATAATTATTTCTGCTTTATTTCGAAAAGTTTTTGCGTAAACTAACAATTTCAGTATTGTGCCATAACTAAGCAGAAAACTATATACGAGGAGTTTCTAAGTATTTGTAAATTTGTTGTCGCAGTCTTAGCTATTGCTTTTGTTTTTGTTATTATTGCTGCATTACATTTGAAATTGAGTTTTATTTTTCGTTTGCAAGCATAGAGACAAAAAAGCGCATTGCTGATGCTATTCTCAATTCGTTTACATCGTTTCTCTTTGGTGCACAGACACTGGTGCACAAACATTTAAAAACACACGTATTATCAAAAAGCATCACATTCAGACCAAGTTTAACTAAAATTTTCTACAGCAATAAAAAAATAAAAAAAGTAAAAAACCAAAAAGTTGTAATAGAGTTTATATATAAGTTTGTGTTCATTATTACACTTAGAGTATGATTGCTGTAGCTGCCATGTTATGGCTATATGTGCGTGTGTGTGGGAGGATGTTTAAGTGTGGCTATATATATGTATGTATATATTTAGAGTACGTGCACTGTAACAATGATTAGAGGGAGAGAATAAAAGGGTATCGCTGATGCTGGCACTGACTTTGGCACTCCTTTCATGTTATGACTAAAAGAACATTCGCTCATCTCTACAAGTTCCTTTTTTATATTATTATTGTTGTTGCTGCTTTTATTGTAACAACTTTTAACCGAAACCTTTTTGTAGTTTTTAGACAAAAATTAAAGATGCAAATTGACAGCTGTTTTCTTCTTGTTGTTATTTTTGTCGTTGCTTACTTGCCGGCATCATCCCTGCAGTGCAAAGTTTATAGATATTTATTTACTTTAACACCGACGACCATCTCCGGAACCGATGGTGGTACTATTTGCTTTTAACTGCTGTCGTTGACAATTCCAAAAAAAAAAAAAAAAAATGTATAAGAAAAGCGTAAATTTATTTTATACACATTTGTTGTTTCTCATCGTAACTTTTCTACACTTCTTCATTTTCTTCTCATCCTTTTTTCCGTTTTTCTCTTACTGTTGACTTCTTCTCAAGCGTATGTAAATTTTGTCTGTAGAGTTTTTTTTTTTTTTTAATTGATTTAGGCAGCTTTCTTCACACGTATACGTACACCCACGCCCACACGCATAAATATGTACACGCACACATGATATATTTAAAACAGATATATAAAAAAACACATATATAAATATTTATATGTATTTATATATATTTATATATATTCTCTTTTGTATGTATGTGTTGCCAGACATTTAAGAAGTTTGCATTTTCTAATTTCTTTGTAGATCGATGTAAAATTGCGCCAATTTTTGTTAATTGCAGCTGTTTACTCTTTTGAGATTAAAAAGTATTGCGCGATAATGAACAACACAGAAAGAGAGAGAGAAAGACAGAAAGAGAAAGTGAGAGTGAGAGAAAGAGAAAGAGAGTCAGAGGAACTTTTATACAGATATACAAAAATATAACACAATTAGAGCATATAAGAAGTTGTCAACCGACTGAGTGGCCGAGTAGGCAAGAGTCTCGATTAGCAACCCAATGGTCGTGGGTTCAAATTTCAAGTGCGGTAGAGTTTTTAGTAAAAGCTGAAAGACTTATTTACTAGTGCTTTAAGACTTTAGTCTTAGAATTTATTCTCTGGCTAAAGTTATAATAATAATAATAATCATAATAATAATAATAATAATAATAAAAAGTTGCTGTCTGAGTTTCGTTTAATATTCAAAAATACAATTTTGAAAAAATTTTTAGGCTTTATTTCAAATTGCTGGAATAAATTTTACAAAATCTATAAACCATCTTCAAGTTACGGCATATTGTTGAATTTTCTAAAATTACGTTATGTGCTTTTGAAATTATTTTGAAATACCCAAAGGCATAAGAGCTACGCACCTCACAGAGGACAATTGAAATATTTTGCATTGATTACAGTATCATCAATTACATTGCTTACATTATGATTCATATTTTCCATGGAAAGAAAGGTAAGCGGAACGCTTACTATATAAAATAGGGCAAAGGAGACGGGGAAAGAGATAAAACGAATGTAGAATCAAGTATTCAGTAGAATCTCGCAGTGAAAAAAATTATTTCTCGCCTTTATGTCGCGATAATATCAATGATCATGTGATTTTGCGTTTGCGAGGCTGAGATTTATGTTACCGAAGAATTTTAAAATATCTTGATAGAAACATCAATGAAAAAATAATAAAGCTTGGCGGAGAAAATCTTTTGGTATGTGGGGCTGCTTTTCTTGGAAGGATGTTGGCCCGATATATCTCGTAGAAGATACTATGGATAGATTTCTATATAAAAGCTTCCTGTAAGCTGTAATGCTACTCTATGCCGAAGATGATATGCCACTGGTAGGATAATGATCCGAAACTTTCATCCAATTTCGTAAAAGCGTAACTTCGATCTCATTAAATGGCCAAGTCAGTCTCCCGGCAATCATCCCTTTGGAGAGAGCTAAAACGTCAAGTTTCGAAGCTGTTCTGTAGCAATAAACAAGAATTGTGCGAAAATATTCCAAAAGTATAGTATAATATCTCATTAGAGAGACTTGCTGTAAATTAATTGCAGTCATGCCTAGATTATAGAATTGTCATTAAAACCAGTGGTGGCTATTCCGACTATTGAAAATCTGTGAACTGATTTATAGAAAAGTTGTGACTTTTAGCAACAAACTGTTGCGTAATTATTTTAAGTTTTTGTCTGTACACCTATTTTACTGTCCACCTTGGAACATCAAACATTTTTATTTATTATTATCATTATTATTATTATTAATTTCGCCAGAGAAATAAATTCTAAGACTAAACTCTTAAGAGCACTAGCATCTAAGGCTATCGGCTTCTATTAAAAACTCTACCGCATTTGAGATTCGAACCCACGACCATTGACTTGCTACTCGAGATTCCTCGCCTTCGGCTACTCAGGCGGATTCAAACATTTTTAAACTGAGCCTCTTGTGGGTTTTTATTTATGCGAAGCATTACGCTATAACCATTTTTAAATATTCTTATTCTATAAATAAAAGGTAAATATAAAATATAATAAGAGAAAAATGGGAAAATAGTACCCTCTCTCTTCAATTCATTTTTTTTTTTTTTTTTTTTTTTTTTTTTTTAATAAATCAAGAACAGTGTGTTTTACCAAATAAAAAAAAAAATTATAAATATCAATCTTAATGGTTCCAATTGATTAGTAAGCTTTAGATCATATATTTGAAATGATGATCTGATCTCTTTGCCAGAATCGGTATTTTTTGGTTTTCCTTTACATTTCAATGTTTCGAGAAAGATCTACAAAAAACCATTACATGAAATCCATTTGCTCATCGTAATATTTTCAACTATAAACTTGATGAAATTATTATTAAGTTTGTATGTGAAAGTGTTAGCGATAAATCGAATTAAAAAGAGCACAAGTCGATGTGTGAGTCCAACAAGAGGACAGGATGAAATATGCTAAACAACTGGTAGGAGAGTAAAATCACTGAGAATAGATCTTTTATAAAAGAAAAAAAAATTTTTTAATTCTTGCATTTATGGCATGAAAATATTAAAAGTTGTTTAGACGTTTTTTTTTTTCATGTCCGATTAAGCCGATCGAGGTTATTTTGACTAAGAATTTGTTACCTTAACACTTTATAAAAAGAGGGTTACGATTTTTCAATACGTTCATGGGGTCATAAACAGATTAGTGAAACCTTTCAAACTTGAAGTCGCCGATTTATGAACATTTCCGTCATTTCAGGTTGAATTTGCAAACCTTTTCTAAAAATTATTTGAAAATCCCATGCTTTTGATCATATTTCTGTTCTCTTCTTTCAGTTACACTTGTGCATTTAACGTTCTTTACAAAATATATGTAGGTTCTTGATTTCAGATTCGAATATTAGGGATAAGTCATGTTTTTATCATTTTTCCATTTCGTTCGTTTATAATAACGTCGATTTTTTTTTAGTGGAGTTCTTTGATCATTACAAAAATGTTTCTGATGTCAACCAAAAAAAAAAAAAAAATCACAATGAGTGAATGACGAAATGGCTACATGACTGAAAGAAATAGTAAAATCGAATAAGGAGGGAAAACAAATTGTGTCTTAGATAGTTGAAATGAAATAAAATAGAAATAAAACCTTTTCTCTACATTTGAAGCGGATTAAAGAAACCTTGTAGTGGTTGCTTTTGTCTACGTTTTTTTTTTTTTTTTTTTTTTTAATAGGAACACTGTTTAATGCACACATATGAACAAATGCAACAAACACATAAATCTCAAAATAAACAGTTGTCCAGTTCAGTGGCACCAGCAAAGCACCCTTGATTTGAAATTGTGTTCATCGATATATATATATTGTGTGCTGCCTACTCATATGTTAGAGTAACTGCGAAAATAAAGAAAGCATATGAACGTGTACGTACGTATGTACGTGCATATGTTCATTTCTATTTAGGAAATTAATCCAGTTCTTGATGCTTTGAAATGTTACCATTTGCGTTTTTATTTACAATACACGTCTACGTTTGCATATATGCGTGTACGTAAGAGCAATAGAATTAAATTTTTTGTTTCCTTTTTTTGTTTTTTATATATATATATATATATATTGGGAATTACCTTCTCTAAGCATCCCTCGCGGCATTGCTGGACTCTTACCGTGTTCGTTTGCTGATATTGTTGTTGTTGGTGTTGGTGTTGTTGCTGCGTTGGATTACCCAGAACAGTGTCTGTACACAAACCGATGGCCATTATTACTAATAGAAGGGTTAACATTGTGTAGGGATGTCCGTCCATCTTCAGGTGTTTTAAAAATTTGGTAAAATTAAAGCAGGAGTTTCTGGTTTTACTATGCTGGCTCAGTCGTTGTTGCTGTAACTGCTGTTGGGTGGCTGCTGCTGTTGTTAAATCTCTAAAACACTTGAATGTATTCAAATTTAACATTTTTTTTAGATTCCGGCCAAAACCCGTTAGGAATTTTTAATTAAATTTACTTTTACTTGTTTATTTATTCATTTTTTTTAAATTAAATTTATTTAAAGACCGTCCTTAAGTTTTAGTTATTTTCCTAAGCCTTCAAGTTCAAATTAAGAGTTTATTTTTTATACAAAAACATATTTAATTAATATATTGTGCCCTTAGACATCTGCTCTGATTAAATGAGTTTTTTTATTTATTTATTTATATGAATATTATTCTATTCATTCATTTTTATTATTATTATTTGTTTTTTTTTTTTTTTTTTGCTTCACTTGTTTACTATACTGACAATTTTTATCTGCTTTTGTTAACTAATTGAAAAATGATTTTCGATTGTTGTTACCAATGCTTATCAACTTAAAATGGTATTTTTACACCCTACTAATTTGTACGTAGGCTATCGTTTTCCCTTTTCTATTGCTTCTTTGCGAGTTTTGCAAATTTTACGAAGATTAAGGCTAGGAATGAGGATAAGATAATTAATAATTCTTTTTTAAATAGCTAAAAAAAAACTTCTTTTGCTTTTTTAGAATATATTTGAAAATTAATTTTTGTATAAGTACCGACGGAGAATTGTAAGGTTCGCACACATGTACACTATACAACCGAAACCTCAGGGAGTCTACACTAAACTGTGTTTTGCAGAAATTTCCAACATACATAATCAATGCGAGATCCAACAAGCAAGTCGGCCCACCAGTCATCTCCAGCTTTACACAGAGAATAGCAATCTCCATCATCCACATATATTTCGAGCATGCGACATAGTAAAAATACAGGATATACAATCACTGCTGTTTGCCTGCTTTTGTATAAAAAATGCTGACACTCTTCTGCTGTATGCAACGAAACCCAGACCCCAGACTAAACTTTAATTAAATTATGTCCGAAGAATGGCATGTCAAGTCAAACGCAGATAGAGAGGGAGAATGCAAAATAATACTTACGCAGGGAGAGAAAGAGCACCTTACCCTTCCGAGTATATTTGCAGATAACCTTCGCTGAGGTTAAGTACTAACATAATAGGTTTTTTCTATCTAACAATTATGGATTTTAATTTTTTGCGTTCTTAATAAACATGTGATAAATTCAAAACATTTTGCAGATTTCGCTCAAGAGAGTAAACAAAAGCGATTCACTAGAGCGCTTGCCACGAGGCAACCTGTATAAGTTGCAGGGGTTAACTTATGTCAAACGCAACAAATACATTCGGTATGACCGACCTTTCCCCATTCAATTCAATAAGTTGCAGTTGTTTAAAGTATAAGTTGGCAGAGGACAAGTTCTAGGGTTGGCCGCTATGTGTAAAGCGCCTTTCTAACCGAAATATTGAACACGCATCAAACATCGTGTAATTCATATCACCTCGTTTAGTGCGGTAATAATAATATTTAAATAAATTTGTTGCCCACTCGCGACTTGACGATATTTTGTCGCATTTTGTTTTTAATTATCTTTGACGGAGATCGCTATTATAACAGCCACTGTATGTATATGTTTATATTATACAGAAACTGTAGTTACGATTTTCTGCTAATTTTTTTTAGCTGGTTTCATTTAAGCTGCTCGTGCAACAATGATGTTATCATCTCTCATTTAACTTTCTTTATCTGTATAAGGCATTTATGACTTTTATTATAGAAACTATTTGGCTTTGGTTTGTAAAGCGTTCTAAGTCTCTGTACACGTTGTGTCCATGCTAGTGACGGTAATGTTGGGATGTTAGAGTTGATGATAGAATTGCAAAATTTCTATTCTTGCTTAATCGTTTTTCATGAATTTTATTGTACTTCTATATCATATCTTATAAACATATCGGTATATAATTCACTTACACACAACACTTACATACAACCTACAATTAAAGAATACAACAATATACTCGCCAGGAAAAATAAGAAAATATGCTTTAGTTCCGGAGACTGTTGCCGGCCCACGTACTTTTCTCTTTTACACAGCAAAATAAGAGCTCATTTGCATTTGCACATATACACATAAATATCCGTAATACACGTTTATTTCTGAACACCATGATTAATTTGTTGATGACCCCAATGACATCCGATACTGCCTCCATACTCGCCTGAAAATACATGCAAGGCCTACCTGCTGTTTACCTAGATTTATTGCGATCAATATCGTTTGTTTCCATTTTGGTGTCATATTTCCCATAAAGTTAAAAACTATTTAAAAATTTACACAATTTTTTCTTATTCTATATTTATTGTCAAAATTATGCTATACCGTTCTGTTATAATTCATACTGAGACTGACTTCACTTTCGTCAAATCACTTTCTTTGAAATCGCCGGCGTTTACATTGGATTAACACTCGACATCGACTTGTGTTCTGAGTAGTGCTTGTTTTGTTTTTCGTCTGCGATTTTTAATTGTTTTCGGTGTTTTTGTGTGTTTTCTGTGGTTTTGTAAGAATTGATTATCGCAGATACGATATTAGCTTTTGTTTTCTGTAAATATAATAAAAAAATCAAAAAAAAAACAAAAAACATAAAAGAAAAATAAAATATTGAAAACAATTGTCATTATCTTTAGCAGTTCCCAAACCTTTTCAAGTGAGTGGTTATTTCCGAATTTAATAAATAATAGACAACCATAAGGCATAATGGCCCAGGGCCGCTAGATAAAAACCCAAATAGATTTCATCTATTAGCAGACGTATCCGCCCAAAGAAAAAAAATTAAAAATTCCGACTTTCCGGTGTTGTCAACCAGTAGCGCCATTCCTATTGACAAAAAATATGTTGTGATTTCTCCAACTGATCCCTTCATGACAATTTTGCAAATCAGCCGTTTTTCTATTAAAAAAGCACTAGATAGCATTACAACATATATAGATTCTATATCGATTCTACGCGATGGGAATTTACTTGTCGTCACTGGGAAGCCGAGCGCAACCGAAAAGCTCATAAAATCGAAATAATTAGCTAATTTATGTACTGTATCCGCTAAACTGCATGAGAAACTTAACTCGGTTAAAGGCGTAGTTTATGCCCCATGCTTGAAACATGTGCCGGAAGATGAAATTGTTCGCGAAATGGGCAGTCAAGGAATGACTGAAGTCTACAAATTCGCCAAACTAAATGACGATGAAAAAAACCTCACTCCTACAGAAAGAATTATTTTGACTTTTGACCGCTATCGGCTACCGCCAACGGTTGATGTAGCTTTGTACAAATGTAAAGTAGAACTCTACATTCCAAATCCCATGAGGTGTAAAAACTGCCAATGCCTAGGTCATACGGCAAAACGATGCACCAGTCCTCCATCCTGTGCTAACTGTTGTCTTCCTCCACATGCTGAAAACTGTACGCGTAGCTTCTGCTTAAATTGCAACGATCAACAAATGCGTGAAATTCTAAAACTCTCAACAGAAAATTACTGCAGAATGGGTGAAGCGCGACGCAAGTACCGGGCAATTAATCCATCTGGAACCCAAAGAATTAGAAAAAGCAATACCTACGCTGTTGTCGCCTCGCAAATCGTGCCTAATAAGCCTTTAACTCCAACTCCTTTCAATGAAAAACCTATTCTACCATCAACCAAAAATTACATTTCCAAACCAGTTCCATTGTCTGCCAAAGATAATATTGAAAAAATCAAAACAACAGCAAATATTGAAAAAATTAAAACAACAACACATATGCTAAAATCTAATAAACTAAATCCCCCACAACCACCAGTTCTCAACTCTACTCAACAAATTATTAAAATTTATATTCCAAACAAGGAACTGGTGTTTTTATAAAATCAAGTATGATCACAAACGCATACATTTAAGCTCAAATATAAAAGCTGTAGCGATACAAGTTATGTTAAACATAAAATTTACAGTGTTTTCGCTCTATATCCCACCTTCGCAATCGTTTTCTCAGCAACAACTTTACAATTTATTCTCCGTATTTTCCCCCCAATTAATTATATGCGGTGACTTTAACAGATGGAATACCATCTGGAGCTCAACAGTGAACAACGCTCGTGGTATTGTTTTAGAAAAGACCTTCATTCAAAACAATCTCTGCATTTTAAGAGGAGTATATTGCTCTCCCTCACTTCTTTCTTTGGTTTCTTGGTCTATTTGTGATGATCTACATAATAGTGATCACTTTCCGATCATAATCGATCTTAAACTTTCAATGTCTGCTGTTACTCCAGCAAAATATGCCAAATTCCTCCTAGATAAAGCGGATTGGATCAATTACTCCAAACAGGTGGAGTCATTTTTGAACTCAAAGCCATTTAACGGAAACTGCAACTATGATGCTGCTATTATGTCTAAAGCGATTCGCACGGCTGCTCATCTTTCTATTCCTCAATCCAACACCTCTTTTAAACGAGCTAGGATTCCATGGTGGAACAACACGCTTTCGTTTTTGAGAAAAAATAAAATGGATCTATGGCACCGCTTTAAGAGAAGTCCTGATCATTTGTTATTATACAGAAAGGCCAATGCTCTATTCAGGAAGGAATTACGAAAATCAAAGGCACTTAGTTTCGAACTTTTTTCGATAAGAATTCACAGAAATACATCAATGAAACTTGTGTGGAGCAAAGTCAACAGACTCAATGGGGATTCAAACCTGAACGAAATTTCTGCCATGTGCACTCCCAGCGGATCTTTAACTGAAGCACATGATATTTCTAATTACTTTGGACAAATGTAGTGCGAATACTTCTCTGAAAGCAACCTTTCCATTGTTTTCATCGAAAATAAAAGGACTCCAATTTCTCTTTCAAATTGTATTGACAGATGTGCCATGTTCCTGAAAAATTGCATATCTACCTTAGAACTTGAAAGTTGTCTCTCCAAATCGAAAGGGAGGGTACCTGGTCTAGACCGCATCTCCTACCAAATGATCAGTGCACTGTCTAATTCAAGTAAAAAGAAATTGCTGGACCTATATAATACGGTTTTTTTGACTGGCCATACACCCAACATGTGGAAACTGGCAGCAGTTGTTCCAATCCCAAAGTCTAAAAATGTCTCCATCGCATCGGATTATCGCCCAATCTCTCTTTTATCTTGCCTCTCAAAGGTATTGGAAAAGATTATGGGATCCAGATTATCTTGGTTTCTTGACTCCAAGAACCTGATAACAAAGCAACAAGTTGGTTTCAAGCGGGGTAGAGGATGCATCGACGCTCTGTTACATATTGATTATTTCACTAACAAAGCAATTTCCGAACGAGATCACGTAACAATTCTCTCAATTGATTTCGAAAAAGCATTTGACAGAGTTGGTCTTCATGTTATTTTAAGACTCTTGAAATCATGGAATGTTGGACCCAAATTCTTCAACTACATCAAATAATTCATGTCACATCGGCGGTTCAAAGTTAGAATCAAAAATCCTCTTTCAGATTCCTTTCCGCTAATGAATGGCATTCCGCAAGGATCTCCTCTCTCTGTCACGCTTTTCCAGGTCGCCTTCAACAAAATTAGCAAAATTCTTTGCCGTGTACCA